GTGGGCTTAGGCCCGTCACGGGACGGTTCCACCCATTGAGCCCACGAAGACCGGGACCGCCAGGCCCGAGACCGCCAGAGCCCAGGACCACGAAGCCCGGGACCGCGAGGCCCGGCCCGTTAGGCCCACTAAGGCCCGGGCCCGGGACAAAATACAGCATTAGATAGAAACACAGCACAGCCATATAACTGCATTCAATTCTGTCTGTCCACCTTAATCTTCCAAAATCCTTTAGCCAAAGATCATAGTCTTGCAAAAAGACAAGTGGAGATAAACAGGATCCTAATCTGGATAGAAATCTATGCAACTTTATAAACAACTTCTGCTTTAGATGATGCCCGACGAAACTTTGTTATCTCTGCGAGTACCTTGAGTCTTGTTTCAGGAGAATTATGTCCTACCCCGGGCTCGATTAGCATTCTGATGAGCATTGGAGACTTGGCTAAGAGAAGCTGGATAAGTTCCATTTCAGGAACTAAGCCTATTATACCTGTAAGCTTAACAGCTCTCAGGTGATTCAATGTCACATCTGAGAAGCTTTCAACTTCACGAGATTCTAGAGCAGCAAGCTCCTCCATAACATCATCATCCCCAGAATCTGAATCATACAACTATAAAATAACAAATGTTCATCCTTTTGAGCTAAAATTGAGGATTAATGATTATGACATAAGTGTATAAGAGAATAGAGGAGAAAGAAAAAAGTTGAACCTGAATTTCAATGTCCTGTAAATATGGGGAGCTTCTTATCAAGCAAAGAACACATGAAGCCTCATCTACGGCATCTAGACATATGTCAGATAGGTAAAGACGTTTAAGACAGTTAAGAGGAGAGAGGAGCTGTTTTGGTACTTTGCCTGCTAAGAACTAAAAACACAACGCCAAAAATCAAAATGTCTCAAGCCCAAAAAATAGCGCCATGAAAATAAACTACAATGAGTCATGACACAACAATTACCTGGACACTATAACAATTCAAGTGGAGATGCTCGAGAGCAGGAAAAGACTCAAGAAACTTGGCAATATCACAGCTTCCTCCCTCATCTATATCTACAAGTGAAAGTTTTGCAAGAAGAGGGACATCCATTAAGGAAATTAATTTTAAACTGCCTGTGAAGTCAAAGGATATCAACTTGGGAGCTTTAATTTGAATGTGATCGGAGATACTTGATTGCAGCACAAGCTGCTCGAGCAACGGGCTGTAAGAGATTAAACTTACAAGAAATTTGGAAGAAATTGTGACTTCACAAAGTTCGAGGGCAACTAACTTATCAAATCCTTTGAAAGCAGGTGGAGGATTTATTAAACATTTATGGAGACTCAGATGTCTTATTTGAAAACATGTGAAAAATGAAGAAGGCAATTTGTATAGGTTATCCTTCGGAAATTGAAGAACAAGATGCTGAATGCCATTCCTAGAGAGAAAACATATCAAGTTATCAATTTTAGGACAGTTTCTCAGATCACCAATGGAGAGGGTAAACTTAGTAAGTGGTCCTACATGGAGGGTCAAAAGGTGGTACATGATGTCTGTAAATCTAATTGTAGGGGATATTAAGTTATTCGTCGTTTTCCAAAATGCTTGATCAAGTGTCAACTTTTGAAGTCTGCACCAAGTATACCTCCATTTCTTCGATAAGATGCTTGTCCTAACAGCATCTCGTAAAGGCAAATGTATTACAATGGCATCTATTACATTCTCTGGAAGATAGCTAAGTATATCGGGAGGTACAATTCGACAACTATGATTCTTGCCCTTCTTATGCATCATATAACACTAATTGCCAGTAAGAACCTGCAGAAACTAAACAATAATACGAAGGTAAGAAATTGCATAACTATCTGGACAGAGTAAAAATACATGACATAACAGCTATTCACATTGTTAACCAACATGCTAAAACAGTAAGATGAAAAGAATGGCTGCATTCAAATTGAAACCACTTATCTCTCTCCTATAACATCTTTGAATCTACAGCAAGAATCCCTTTTATCGACTGACATCTACAGCTACAAGATAATGAGAAAAACTATTATCCAACATTCGGCAACATTCACTCACAAAATCAGCTTAGTTGTTATTTCACAGCTTTGGCTAGATTGGACATCAAACTAATACCTCCATTACTAAAATTTGCATAGCCTAGTTGAGCTTAGTAGTTTTATACTCACAATTTGCATCAGCTAAGCTTGCTTGGCAAGTAAATCCTGCCCCACCTTATACTACTAAGTTATCACAACATGATTGTAGAAGGCAAAGTTTCTTAAGTTATCATACTCACTAACGATTTGATTTAAATAGTAACTGATGGCAGAACACCAATTGTAGAACAAGCTTCCTCTAACCAAAGAGTCCCTTTTTAACTAGCAAAATTGATTTTTCTTGTGGTCACTCGACACCACCAGTAGCAGATGTAGCTTATTAGCTCCAAGTTCAACCGAACCCGGTAATTTTTACATGAAAAATGAATACATATGTGAAAACCCCTAAAATGGTATATTCTGAATCCATAATTTCAAAAGTACGATAAGTTCAGTGCTAAGAACTTTAAGGGCTGAACCTACCAAGTTCCATCTTTTATAGGATGCATGTAAGTTGCCGATTGAACCCTTATCATAATCAGGGGCGTATCTAGTATAGAAGCTATGATTCATGTCTCAGACCTTGTATATTTACCTAAAAGTTCATTAAATATGTACAAATATTATATTTTGAACCCATTAAATTAGGTGCGATGGAGTAGAATTTCAAATCTAAACCCACAAAGTTCAAATCCTTGATCCGCCTCTGCTCATAATAAGAAAATACATTAACCTATTGCAAAAGTGATATGATGGAGATTAATGAAAATTATACTAAGTAGCAAATACTTTGATTTAGTTTACATGTTCAGCACAAGTAATACGGGACTGAAAAAGATCACAAACTGAGTTATTTGCTTCCATTTATACATAGGAAACATTTCAAATAATTTACATCAAGGACCAATTTCAAACCAATCCAAAATGTTTACGTCAACTCAATTAAGAGAAAAATCAATCTAGCTGTCATTTCTTCTTCTTCTTTATTTTTTTAAAATAATAAAGATTCTTTTTTTCCCAGTCCCCTCATTGTACTAAAGCCAAAAGTGTCGCCACCCAAAATCCCACTAAGTCGTGATGACACCTAACTCAACCCGCTAGGTAAGCTAAACATATATAAATTACAACTAAACTGAGAATCAACAATGTATATAATAGAAACTAACAACCGAATTCAATACAGAAACATCAATTGCTTCTAAAACTTAAGAAAATATTCCAAAAGAAAGCTACTTTTCTTGACTTACTGAAATGATGCTCATACCCAAGAAAACCAACAATACCAACATCAATCAAAATAGAAAGATATGATTTTTAGAAAACAAAAGACGAGGTAGCAGATTTTCAGCTTACCAAGACTTGAGATTATGAATTTGGAAAATCCAAAAAGGAGTATCAAATAGCCTTATGCGTACTTTGGGTCCTTTTTGTACTTTTTTGGGTTCATTCGGAAAGAGGTTTCTTCAAATGAAGGGGAAAGAGAAACCCTAAAATTATGGAGTAATTAGGGCTGTCCATTTGGGGGGAAATGCCAAATTTAATTAACCCAAATTAATGTTGTGTTATAGTGCCGGGTCTATTTACTTGTTATTGCTATTGTTTACATCTATTTTCTGGCTTTTATGTTGATGTTATTATTGCTTTGGTTTGTGTTGATAATACTGATATATTTGCTTTCTCAGGGGTAAGATTTGCGTATGCACTAACTTTCTCAGGCCCCACTTAAACTAAAAATAACCGACGGATGTGTAATAAATATATAATTTATGTATAACTATGTATACTTTATATATACCGACTAGAAAAAGTTAACAGTGAATCTAGCCAGCTATTTGTGTAACAATCACATTTGTTCTTAAATTTTATGAAATTAGTCATTCACACACCCATTTTTCATATGAATTTTTTCATTCATATACAATATTTGAAACCTTATTATGAAAAATGTTCAGATTTTTGTATTTACCCGACCTAAACATGTTTTAGCTACAAAATATATACATATACCTTAAAAGGCTCCCATACATTATTAGTGCATTCAGTCAAGGGATTTAATTATACATTTTTTCCTTTTATCTCTCATCTTTCCCCTTTTCTCTCCGGATCTTCCACCCTTGCAGCAGTCTAAGCCAACTACTGTATCCCTTGATTTTAGTTTTCAATTTTGGTAAAATAAAAATATCCCTCACAAACTTCGTAATTTTCCCTCCATCCAATTCATCTATCTTTGCACACAAAGCACTCAGTTGACCATCATTAAATGAAATTCGAAAATCTAAGTGATTTTATTAGATATTCTCTACTGGCAAGCCAAATTTGAGAAAAAAGATATGGTTCCACCATTGTCAAGTTGAAGCTTCATCTGATTTCAATTAAACTCAAATGTTTGTGTTGAAAATCAATTAAATGTTGCTCAATCTTGTTGGAAATAGCTTGGAGTCGTCAACTTTGACGTAAAATTCGAAGCCAAGATTTTGAAGAATACAGCTATGTATGTGTTCGCAACAAATTTTTGTATTATAAAAAATAAACTGCAACAAAAATAATATGAAGAAAAAGAGATTTTATTGATGAATATTTGTGAGTACAATTCTTTATATCCCTTGATTCTCCTCTATGAAATTCTCCGTAATTTGAGGGCTTGAGAAGCGTATTTCTCGAATGTAGGACGATGTAGACCTCCTACTAATGTATTTAATCGCCAAGAACGTCAAGCAGTACTTTGTTGTTTCGGGTTGATCTCCCGGAAGAACTCCGTGGACCACTCCTTTGTAGAAGAACTACGCACTTGATGATTGATCTTTCTGTTTGTGGATGCTTCTCTTCTCCAACTCTGAATCTCCCCAGAGAGTTATGTAACCCCTCTATTTATAGTTATTGAGGATGAGACAGTACAGTTACATATGAACTCTCTTGCTTGATTCTGATTGGCTCATGTTAGTCATCAAACTTATCACATAAGCTATGTGATAAGCTTGCTTGTGATTGGCCAAGACATGTCATTTTAGACACTTGGCAACTCTTGATTGGTCACTGTTTTAGACTGGGATTGCCACATCATTTCACACGTGGCATAATCTTATTGACTTTGAGTTTGACTGGATATGCCATGTCACTTGACACATGGCATGAGTCTGGGCCTTAAGATGAAATGGACCTTAGGTATAAAAATAATAAAATGGACTAATTTAATTTGTAAAGTCCACATTAATTATTTAACGCAATTGAATTTAATCAAAATTTTGTATGAATTAGATTCGATAATTTTATACTCTACTTCAAAGCTCGTTGAAGTGTAAGCTTAATCAACGACCAAAAAAAAAACGAGATTTGAAGTACTGATAGAGCCATTGACTCCATTTCTCACTGGAATCAAATTGCACATGTCGTAAAAATACTTGGCCTTTAGGTTGCGGACCAATGTAATTCTTTAATTGTAATTGATCCTTTGTGCAAGTTTGTACAATCGACATGGTATTGCCAGCAATCTAGTTACGAGCCCATTTCATTTAATCCACTAACTTTCTTTGCTCCAGCATACAATCCTCGGTATTGGACAATGAGACCATTCCTTACAATTGAATAGAAATTTCATAGGAACTTAACCAGGCTAACTCCGTCTGGGTCTCTGAATGGTTAACCTAATCACCCCCCTATAAAAGCAGCTCAAGTTATGATAAATTATGCAAGACTTTTCAACGTCTCAAGAGGGTACGAAACATGAGTCATGCCTTTAACAATTGACGTCAACTCTCCTTTGATGAAAGCATAATTATATCAGCAGTAGCAAAGAATTAGTATTGCCTTGGATTTACTTCTACCTGATATCAAATTCTATTGGGGTGCTGGCTTCTCTTACACGGTGGATAGCTCTTTGCTGCAGCGGCGTTGACATACTCAACTCCCAGGCCTTGTCCAGTTTCTGCTACACATAGATGAATCTGACGAGCCATGAGGGAAGACATGACGAACCGCGAATTAGGTGACTTTGAAGATTATGGAAGCATTCCAAAAAATACCAGCGCTGATGCTTCATGATATTGTGGATTCTATGTTCCATTGAATTCTTTGCAAGCTCAATAAAAATCTACCGATGTAGGGAAATCGACATGCCATTGACACCGAAACTTGCGGTTGAATCGGGAGCTTCGTGCAATTGGCACCGATCCTTGTAGCATCAAGAAGCTTCGTGCAATTGGCACCGATCCCTGTAGAATCAAGAAGCTGCGTGAAATTAGCACCGTGAGCTACGTTCTCTATCACCTTTTTTTTTTTTGCAGCCTTGGCAAGAGAGCTTTATGGAGAACATCAACTTCTTGCTGTTTGACGAGCAAACACATGGACCATCTTCTTCTTATACTTGATGAGCGAGCATGTGGCACATCTCATCCTTGTGGATTGGCGCAGAGGAGGCATATGAAGTGTCCTTTCAACCTTGGATACAAAATCTCTACTCTTGGAGGCTTGGAGAGACAATATTTCATTATGATGATGTCCATCTCATTGAAGAAGTATTAGGCATGTGCCTAATAAGAGTTTTCTTTGGTTTGGTAGCCAACCTTTTTGAATTTCTTTGGTTTGGTAGCCAACTTTGTTGAATTGTGAAAAGTGTGTGTAAATTGTCAAATATTGTAGGCTTTAGAGGGTGAAGCTTTGGCTATAAAAGGAGAGCTTCAACTCTCATTTCTACACACCAACAAAGAGAGAAAGAAAGAGTGAGGTTTCACAGACAAGGTATAAGAAAATAGTCTGTGAGGAAAATAGAGAGTGAGCGATATTGTAGTGAGGTGGGAATATCAAAAGAGGGTTATTTCTTTTGAGTGTTGTAGTGGTCTTTGGAGTATTTATCTCCGACCTACAAAGTGTAAAATTCCTTACTATAGTGATATCAGTTGCTCCTCTCGGGGTCGTGGTTTTTTCCCTTATTCAGAAGGGTTTTCCACGTAAAAATCTTGGTGTCATTATTACTCTTTTATTATTGTTAATTACCGTATCTCGGTGCTACATTATTATTCCGCTTTATTACCGTGAATATTATTTTGGTAAGGGGTTTATTCCCAACACATTATTGGCGAGCCAACACGTACCACATTGCATCATTGCAGGTTGACGAGGAAGACAACATGAGTATAGCCTTTCCAACTTCGGGGATCAAACAATTAGCGCCTCTTCAAAAATGTTTATTTCTCGATGCAGGGGCAATACAATCACAAGCCGCTTCTTCATAAAGAATCATAACTCGAGGAGATGGAACACATCAAAAATTCAGCACCAAATACCTTGAGGATTAGCCGCAATACTTTTTTGAAGCTGATAAATGGGTTCAGCGTTTTAACTTTACAGTATTGTACAATCTCGCCAAAAGATTGATATCTCGAGCCAGGAGTGTCCGAATCGCGATCCGTTTGCGTCATTGGAAAGAAAGCTCTGACACCTGTCAACCTGAAAATTTCATAGTAGGATTCCCATCATAATGGTTGCAATAATATTCTGAAGTTGCTCCTGATGTCTCCCGTACTTGCAATCCAGCTTTGCGCACTCCTATCGAAAAATTTATATCTCGAACTAGGAGATTCCAAATTGCGATCTGTTTGCGTTGTTAGAAAGTAAACTCATCGAGCTGCAACACATATGAATTTCACGGCAGAACTCCTTTGGATCTGGAAACAGAAAATTCTCAAATTCCACCTAGCTGCAGTAACTTTCAGATTCGTTCCAGTGAAAGATATAGTATCTTGAGCCAGGAGATTCCAAATTGCGATTCGTTTGCACCGTTAGGAAGTAACTCATAGAGTTGTATATCATATGAATTTCATGTCAGAACTCTTTTTGGACTGGAAACAGAAAATTCTCAAAGTACGACCAACCTGCAGTAAACTTTCAGATTTGTGCGGTTCCAACAACAAAAATCGTATCTTGAGCTAAGAGCCTCCGAATCGCAAACGGATTATGTTGTTGGATATTAGACATCTAAATCTACAACATACAAAATGTTTGGGGCAGAACATCTTCCGGATGGACTACGGTAGTTTTTCAAAGTTAATCCCGTCATTCGTTGAGCTCGCTTTCCATCTATATGCTCTCTGAATTGTCCTATGAATGTTGTTGTTTTCTTGAAATTGACTCAACAGTCTTGCGTATAGTAACTTTAGCTATTATTCTTAGCAAATCTTATATATTTATTTATTTCTTTTGCAGACTTGCAAAGAAGTTCAACGAGTCCACATATCAGTCTGAGATGTTATACAAGATGCGGAGTCACCCCTTCACCAACTGTTGCATTTGTCGACGCCCTTGAAGTTCATCAATGGCGTCTCCCGTGGTGATTGAAGGTTTTTTTCAAGAGAGACGACTTCTCATATATGGGACCCTCAACCAACACTTGCACAAAAGAAGCAAACTATCATGCTCAAGGCCTAACAATAAGATATGTGGTCAAGATATCATCACAACTACTGAATGCGATACACGCACATTGAGTGTCATGACCCAAAATCTCTCCGAATGAATCGTGATGACACCTAGTCTCTAA